AAAACAAGTTCACCGCCCCTCAGCATCCTCCCACCGCCCCCCGGGGGGCGGTACCGCCCCCTTTGAGAACCAATATTCTAAGGGCTTAGCTTATATATGCCTGGGGAAGATCCCTATGTCTTCCTGTCAACTTTTGAATGAGTTGCTAAAAAATGGAACTTAAGAGGAATTCATGAAATTTGTTTAAAGTTTGATGAAAAGAGACCTATAAGGAACGAGCTGCTTCATATAGTGTCTTTAAAGACTCTGAATACTAAAAGTCTAAAATGGGACCTGGTTATTTCAGAAGAAAGAAGGAAGTCTTACATGGAGTTTTGTACATGGGAGATACAATTGTTAAAGAAATGGTTAGATGAAGCCAAGATATATAACCTGGAGGAAATAATAGAATTATAAGTTTGGCTCAGTTTTATTTTCCGTTTCCCTCTGAGTTAAAGATAAAAATAATAAGGTAGCAGCCAAATACAATAATGGGAATCACTGAGATAGTTGAACAGTTGCCCTTCAAATCTGGCAGATCTGAGGTAAACAAGAGTTATCCTTCAGTCCTGGACACAGAGAAGTACCATTTGTGGTGATAAGTCAGGAAGTCCCCAAAACCTTCAGGGAAGGGATGTAGAGATAGCATATTATAATTGTGAGGAAAATGGTCACATGAAAATTGGTTGTTATTTCAAGAAACCAGTGGTTGATAGAAGAGCAATACTGCAAATGATTTGTCACAAAAATGTAAAATGAAGAAATATACTGATGTGGATTTTTTTTTTTTATCATAGTTGAGATGAGTTATATGATAAGGTAGCTTGTGATTGTTGGTAACCTAAAACATTTGGGAATGGTAGACACAGGTGCTTCCTTACCTATCATAAGTTCAGAGTTGGTGGGGGGGAAAAAACACATGGTGCCTAGCCAAGCAGAAGGTTAGGAAGTAAAGATCCTTTTAGATTACCAATGGCAAGAGTCTCAGTGGAGTAGACATGAGAAGGGCAACTAGTGGAAGAATTTTAACAGGGAGGCTAAGAAAATGAAACCAGAACCACCACGTGTCAATGATGATGGTGATGCTGTCCCATTTGGAATGAGGTTGCACAGAATTGGAAGAATTTTAAGAAGGAAAAAAAAAAAACAAGGTGGGGAAAGCATGCAGAGCCTGGCTTTTGAAATTCTTTCCGACCTGTTTACCATCAATAGCCATAGGAGATGTTTGTAATTTATTCTGTGTACTGTAATGAAGTAACATGTTGCATTGTGTTTCTATGTAGACAATTACGATGTATGCATACATGTTCTGTTTGTGTGTGTGAGTGTGCGTGTGTGTGTGCGTGCGAGGGCCTAATCAGGGGAGTGGATATGTGTTGACTGTGTTTCAGCTCTTCCCTCATGTGATGTTGGTATGTGTGTGCCCATTGGAAAGCAGAGGGTGGGCTGCATATCCTCTCCTTTGGAAGGGGGGCTTAAAATTGAGCAGTCTGCAGCATTCCAAGTTGCTGCCGGACTGCCTTTCCCATTGAAATGCATTGGGGCATTTTTTTCTGGAATGTTCTTCTCCAAAGCTGGCTGGATCCAGCCCATTTTTTAACTCAATCTTTCTTTAGTCAGCTTCTCCCTGCTGCACTAAATTTGGTCCTATTCTGTTCTGTTTCTGGAGAGCTATCCTATTGGCAGACAGACAAGTAGAATTGCAAGCCCCTTTATATAATTTTGTAAAACATTCCATTAGGTTGGAAAGAATAAAAAGCACTTACAAATGGAAAACATTAGTGTTATTGTTTCAAGGTGAGGGCAGCAAAATTTTAAATTATGTTTTTCCCAAAAATAAAATTAGAGAAAATTATGCCATAAACCCAGTTCTGGCACACAAGATACAGTAAAAATGTAACATACATTAAAAATATAATATAGTACTAATATAATAAAAGATACAAAGCACAAAGACATTAAAAGGCCTTGAGTCCTGTCTACACTATAATAAGGAAACAGCTTGCTTCAATTCCTGTAGCAATGTATTTCACAATTCAGGTCTGAGCAGGGAGAAGGCTAAATTGATTGCAATCAAACATCCCTTGGAGACCTCGAAAAGACCCCATTGATGATTTACAAGTGTGACATGAAGTATATGGGAGTGGGTGATCTTGTAACTTGAGTATAAATGAATAAGGCTTTACAGACTATTGTGGGCTCAGAAGGTAACTTTTTTTGGTGCCTTCAAGTCATTTTTTGACTCCTCATGACTGCTTGGACAAGTCCCTGCAGTTTTCTGGGAAAGATTTTTGGAAGTGGTTTGCCATTGCCTCCTTCCTAGGGTTGAGAGAGACTGGCAACCAGTAAAATTATTTTAACTTGGGGGTGATGTGGCATCCCAAGGAGGCACCATTCACCACTGCTGCTATGTTCTGAGCATTTGAACATTTCAGAGAAGAAGTTGATATTTATGTAGCTATTTCCTTTTATTAACTTCCTGAAAACCAATTCATTTGCTATTTAGTATAAGGATTTTTACCTTGGCTTTTGATGTAAGAATCCCCAAAGAGATTTGTAACAATGGAAAAACAAACGAACCTTTTTCATTTGGCCAGTGCCACAGGCCAGAATAGCCCTTTTTTGTTGCTTGTGGAGTTTTAGGCTGTAGGAATTTAAATGTTCTTTCTGGCACTGGTGGGGAAGTGAGCCCCTGCAGCTCTTTAGCGGGAGAGTTGGGATCCACTGGTTATCAGAGCTGAGACTTCTTTTTGGAAGTCCGCTTTGGAGTTAAGAAAGTTCTTAGGAAAGATAGTTGGTACATTCCAGTGTAGCAATTAGACATATTAAAAACTGCAGAGTTTACAGCTTATCGTCCATAATATCAAGGTACTTTAAATTCCAGGTTTGTAATAGTTTTATTCTATGTTATTTTTCTATTCTAGTATGAAAACCCTTGGACTGTCCCTAATCTACTTTCAATGGCAAGGATTGGTCTGGCACCTATTTTGGGCTATTTGATTATTGAAGAAGATTTTAATGTTGCACTGGGTGTATTTGCTCTGGCTGGAATAACAGATTTGGTAAATCCTTTATACATATTTTTACAATGTTGTATGGAAATAAGACTTTTTATCTTTTTTTAAAAAGTGAGTTCAGAAATATTTTCAGATTCAGATTCATGGTATTTGAATATGATTTTATAGTTTTTTTTAATTGACCAGGTAGTCAAGATGCTTGTTTTTTCAAGGTTGCCTTTTAATAGGCAGATTAGATTTTCCATAAAATGTAAACATATTTACACCCTTATAAATTTGTACAAATTTTCTTTGCAGGAATACAGTATTGCATTGCCACTGCCTTCTGGGTTGTTTTTTTGACTTCTTGGTCTAGCCTACAGGTCTAATATTCTGTAGAAGTCCCTTACCCAAGTACATTTAATCACACCTGAATCCTCTTTTTCTCAAATATAATTTTTATTAAGAATTTTAATTACAAAAGTAAAAATTAATACAAATTAAACTTAGAGAAAGAGAAGAGAATGGAAAGAAAGAATAATTCCCTCTTAGCCCAACCTAATAAAGGTGTTTATTATAGGGAAAAGTTGGAGGAAGGAGTGCTATGTGTATTATCAGGAGCTCTTGGAGAAAAGATGGGATATAAATATGACATAAGTGAAAATGTTTGGTTTCTCTCACAAGCTATTTGTCTAACTTATATTTTCAGTTGGATGGCTTTATTGCACGAAACTGGGCCAACCAAAAATCTGCTTTAGGAAGTGCCTTGGACCCTCTGGCTGATAAAATTCTTATCAGTATCCTATATATTAGCCTGACTTGTGCAAATCTTATTCCAGGTAAGCAGAGAAGCTGTCTTTTAAATGATTCTTGCTGTTGAATGACCTAAAAAGAATGAATTGTTAAATATTAGAAGGAAATAATTTTTCAATTTATTGGCACAGTTCAGTACCTCAGTAAGTTGATGCCATAGTTCATAGAATTCAACCTTTATATAATAGTCTAAACAAATCCAAAGCAAAAAAATGCAATATACAGGGTGTACCAAAAACCAGGTCCCATAGGCCAATTTCTATGGATTTTTTTTTCTGGAGAAAATGTTACTATACCTAGGAATGCTCAAAAGTCATGTGTAAAATGAGTGAGGAAGTGTTTGAAAGAAAATGGCAACCAATTTGAATGTTTCATGTAATTTATATAATCAAGTGTCTGTAGGACCTGATTTTTGGTATATCCTGTAAGTCCATGTTGTTCATTGAGTTAATTTTCGTGGTTTCATTTTATTGTCTAAGATCAAATTGCTGAATCTTTGAAGGGTATAAATAATGTAGTTCTTAAGCGGCGGTTGATAGTCAGAAGAGATTGCAGGGTTTACTTCTGTATAGCATTGCAATTTACTTTATTTCTATCCTGCCTTTCAAGGCAAATTATGGTTACAAAAATAATATATAATTAACAGACCTTTAAAGACCTTTAAATTTTGTGTATTTTTATTCCTTTTTACCCAGGTTGAGAGATCCTTTTCTAGGGCTAGAGAAAAGGCAGCCAACTGCTATAGATGTATGCTTTCTTTGCCCGGGCCAGAAACGGAAGGCGTTGTTCAGTTACAACCACCACTGTATTTTGGACAATTTATCTGTGTTGTGTTTGTGGTAATGCGTAGGTAGACAGTAGAATTAAATGACATTGATTTTGACTGTTTGCTAATCAGTCTTTGGCTGCAGCTTATATGGATATGCTGTGAATATGAATTATCTTTATGTAGTCTCGATATGAGCGCCAGTTTGGTGCAGTGGTTAAGGCACCAGGCTAGAAATCTGGAGCCTGTGAGTTCTAGTCCACCTTAGGCACAAAGCCAACTGGGTGACTTTGGGCCAGTTGCTTTTTCTCAGCCCTAGGAAGGAGGCAGTGGCAAACTATTTCTGAAAATGTTGCCAAGAAAACTGCAAGGAAGTCCAGGAAGTCGCCAGGAGTCAAGACTGACTTGAAATTGTGTGTGTGCATTCACCCACACAAATTTAGATATATTTAAAACGAATTTCATGATTTGTTTTTCAGTTCCTCTTACAACAATGATAATTCTAAGGGACATTGCATTAATTGTTGCTGTTTTCTATGTTCGATACAAAACTCTTCCTCCACCAGTAAGTATCCAGCCATACGTTAATATATGTTTGATAGGAAACTAAAGCAAACATAGAATAACAATATTTGTAAAAAATGTTCCCAAATGTAGGCTTGCTGAGATAGGAATCAGATATTTTTTCTATACAGATGATGATACAAGCAATATTTTTCTGCCATATTACAAATATTGTAACAAGAGAGCATCCGATGGTAGCAAAGAATTAGGGAGTGAAAGGAGTTCTCTCCCTCCTTCCTTATTTGATCTCTTTCTCTTGCTTTTTGTATTTTGTCCAAAGACAGACCTTTCTTTTAATGCTTCCAGAGGGCAACCTTCCCTTATCTACTGCCTTGCAGATGAGTTAGGACTGTGACTCCCAAAATGCCCCTTGAGCATGGCCAGATGTCTTGGAATGTGCATGACATTTTCCCACACTTCCCCTTAGTGTTTGCAAAATTATAAAAATTCTCTGACCTTTCAGTGAAAATTAAAGACCGTGTCCTGGTAATCTTTGCCCATGAGAATGGCAGTATTCTTTGGTTCTCCATTATTTCTTCATTACTGTGTCTTGCTATGCTATTCTTCTTAAATAACTCCAGTAGTTTCTGTTCACTTCCAAAATCTTGCTCAAACTTCAGAATCCTCAATTTGTCCACACTTATCTCAGCTTTTTCATCATTTCCCTTCCTATGACCTTCTCTTGCCCAGCATCTCGTTTTCAGCTACACAATCTCCTCTCTTCCCACTGAAATGGCAGCATCATTTCTATTCCAACACCTAAAATTTTCTCTCAGAATCCCTGTTTGACCACCTCCCTTACTTCCATGTTGCTCCCCAAACACAACCTCTCCAGAAGGCTTTTCAAAGGTACTGTTATTCCAGTTATCCTACTGAATCGAACCAAAATAGTATTGAAATAATCACAGATCTTCTCCTGTAGATCCTGTCTCTGCTCATTGTTTCTTTAGTCCCATTTGTCTCTTTCTTTACGCCAATTCCTTATAAGCCACCTTGCCTCCAGAGGAGATGTAGGCAGTCTGAGGTGTAGGCAGCCTTCTGCACCACCCAAGGATTGCACCACCCAAAATCAGTGACACAACTACCAGATACTGGCTCTGTAATTTTTCCTGTTTGTTTGTTTTTTGTTGCTAAAATAAAGAGCAGAGAGTCTAATAAGTTCTGCTAGCTTCATGTGTTCATGTTGTACTTTAAAACAGAGAAAAATTTAGCCCACAGTGACAAACAGTGTTCTAAAAAAAGGTCAAATATTTGAACACTAGCCCATTCCGACCACGATTCCTGAAGCTGTCAAAACCCAACCCCCCTTTTATACTTTGATTCCCTATGTCCTGGCCTAAATCATGTCAGACGCATGCATGAAGAATTGCACTGTTAAATATAAGTATAAACATGAAGAATGAATATGCTATGTTGCTAAAAGCATCAGTTGGATTTTATCAGTTCATAAATTTAGTAAAGTGTTTCTGTATATATATTAAAAAGTTAAAATTTTTGTTTCTCACAGAGGACATTAAGTAGATATTTCAATCCATGTTACGCCACTGCTCAGTTAAAGCCAACATTCATCAGCAAGGTAAGAACAATAGTATATTTTGCTCTGTCCATTTGGCAAACAGGATATTTTCTTGTATCCTGCAGTTTGATTGTCTTTCATGGCTTATACAGGTAGTCCTCGCTTAATGACCATTTGTTCAGCAGCCATTTGAAATTAAGATGGCACTGAAAAAATGGACTTATGACCGGTCCTCGCACATACCACTGTCACAGCATCCCTGCAGTTGCGTGATCAAAATTTGGGTGTTTGGCAACCATCACGCATTTATGACAGTCACAGCATCCTGCCTACCTCCCCCCCAATCCCGCCCTTTTGGCTGCCCTGCACAGCATGGTCGAGATGAAGAGGCCACCGTATTCCACTGCCACCCCCAGCAGACCTTCCTCCTACTTCCTCCTCATCATCTCAAGGATGATGTGGAGGGTCTTTCAGTGCTGGGCTCACCACTGCCCCTCACAACTGCTGCAACCCCCAGGACAACAAGGAAGAGGAATTAGGAGGAATGTTTGCTGTGGGGGGGGGCAGCGGGTAGGCAGCAGCATACAGCAGCCTCTTCATCTCAGCCATGCTGTGCAGGGCAGCCAAAAAGGCAGAGATGGGAGGGGGGAGTTGAAGCGGAAGCAGTTCAAGCAGGGCAGGAGAAGCAAATTGGCCTCTTCTGGCTCAGTGATCCCCTGAAAGCGTCCCTTGCCTTGGAAGAACTGGGGCTGGGATGGACCAAGCCAGGAATAGCTTGGATCGGGGTGGGTCTTTGCCTAACGACTGCACGGGATTCACTTAATGGCAGCCAGGACTGCTGGAACTGCCATCACTAAGTGGTGCAGTCACATGATCTTTCACTTAATGGCAGCTTTCCTTAGCAATGGAGTTGCCAGTCCCAATTAGGGTCATTAAGTGAGGACTACCTATTGTCTACTGCCACAGACAGATGTGGAGTACATAAAATATGAATGAGAACAATAAAGAATGAACGGCCATAATGAGAGAAAATGTTAGTTCTGTTTTCTGTCAGGAATTTATACACTAATATGCCAGAGAGAAGATAGGAGAAAGTAGATTGACCGCTATCCTAATTCTTCTGTCCAAGTTATTGAAGGAGGTGAGAAGGAAGTTCTTATTTGGCAATATGTAGATTTCCTTTTCCTTTCCAGCTGCTGATAGATTTTGAAAGGAAAAGATGTACTGTAGTAGGTGTGCTTTGGATTTCTCAACAGTGGGTAACTGCTCAGCTGGAAAATTCTCATTTAGGTGTTGAACCTGTTCGGGTTGTGAAATGTTAGTACAAAAACCATGAGGAGGAGAGAGGATTCATTCCTACCTTGTGGAGAGCCATGAGGAGAAGAGAAAGAAAATGAGGGAAATAGGAAAAAGGCGGGATCCAAGCCCCTCCCACACAAAACAGCAAAGCTAGGCCTCAGCGGAGCCACCCCTCCCTTTGTGCTCATGTGAGACGGGCTTGGTTGAAACCCCGTATTTTCCAACAGAACATGCAAAATATTGAGATATATAGAGCATAATTTAAACAGTATTTTCATTTCATGGGTTAGTTCAGAAAGACTAATATTCTTGTGTTGTAGAATTGATTTCACACAGTTCCACTTTCCATCTTCTTTTTCAAAGAGTTCAAGATGTGAAAATATACGTTTTCAGATTTAAATAAATTGAACTTTTCCATAATGTTCTTTTAGGATAATTTGTGGTTAATTGGAACCAGAATTGTTCCAGTTGAACATTTGGATCCAGAATTGTAAACAGTAATTTAGGCATTGCTTATTTGAACAGTTAAAATAGTTTTCTGGGTGTGAAAACAATAGAAAATAAAAACGTATTCAGTAACTTGCTCACAAAGGAGAAAGTTCTTAAATACTGGAAACGAATGAAATCCCGGACTGCCATGGAAACAGAATGCTGTTCTAACTTTGTATTTTTTTTTCAAATTAGGACAAAAGCAGTTAGTTCATAAATGCAGTATTTTGACTTTAATTAAAATTTCCATCACTATTATCTGTTGAGGCCCTATTTAATAAAGCACTTTTAGTTCTTTTCAGTGGTACAAAGCATTTACTGTTTGATGAAAGATTGAGAGAATAAGTGAAGTACAAGAAGATTCTGAATGAGGGACAGACCATTTGGGGGAATTGTTAAGAATAGTTCTTGGGGGGGAAATAGGCATGGAATTTGAAAGATAGGCATAAGAGAAACTAGAATGAAAGTATGAAATGAAACTGCTGGGAGAGAAATTACAAATCTTGTTTGAGAAAGTATTAGAAGAAGAAATAATCTTCTAACAGAATGAATGGAGATGGATATAAAGAAAGAGAATGTGGAAGCTGCTTGAAACAGAGTGAAAAGAATTACTCTAAAGTCCCAGAAGTGTTTGGAGTTACACTAATGGGAAATATGAATAAGGGTGCTTGGTAAAAGGATGAGGTGCAAGAGGCTAGGGTAAGAAAAATGGGTATAAGAGAATAATTGCTGCAGAAAGTGAGGATTAGAGAAAGAGATTGTTTAATGCACATAGAAAAAATAGTTGCAAAGAATATAGTTAAAGAGTGCAGGGAACACCTAAGATTTAAAAAGGCAGAGAAAATACAGAGTGATTTTGATGGAAATAAAACATTGTTTTGGAAATTATTGCAAAGGAGTAAACAGGACAGTTTTATTTATATGTCTGTCTATCTAACTATCATATTTATATGATATTTGTATATCATATGTATTTATAAATCATATTTATAAATCTCCATTAGAGTGAGTGGAATTAAATATAATTAATGTGATGAAATGATTTGTGCTGGAACTGAAATAAGGGAATGCTAGAAAAAGTCTTTTAGAGATTTGTATAGGAATGATGGTGATATGTGGAAGAGTAGAATTTAAATGAATCTTATAAGTATTAATAATGTTAGAATATTAGAAAAAAACTGATAAAAGCAAATCATAAACGCTGAGAAAATGTTAAGAATGGCTATATATTGGTGTGTGCTTCTGCCCATTTTATTATATGGAAGTGAAATTAGGGCATGTCAGGAGAAAAACAAAAGTTGGAATGGATTGCTTAAATATGTAGTAAAACAAGATGATATAGCATCAAGAATGAATGGGTGTTGAATGAATTGATTGGGTTGAATATAGAATGAGTGACAGTTATGAAAAAAGTATGTTGAGGTGGTTTGGTTACTGAAAGAGAATGATGATTGAATGGCAAAACAAATATATAAAGGAAGAGTCAGTAAAGAGAAAGGGGGAGACAAAATTATTGGATGGATGGAGTTGATGAGAAGCTCAGAAAGGAAGAGTTGAGATTAAGAACTAAAAGCAACCAATGATGATTTGCAAAGATAGAAATATAGAGAGAGGTATAATGAATGCTGTTGGTGTAAACTGGATATAGCTGAATTTCCTTTTCCTGTATCATGCCTTTAATGTATTTGGCTTACTCTTCCATACTCCAGTTCTGTGATTTGCATGACGTTGCTTACACTGAAACAGAATAACATCATGGATATGTATGTATGTAGTTCTTTTTCTGTGCAATAACGCAATGTGACCTCAGTTTTAATTTAATCTGTTACCAGGTGAATACAGTAGTACAGCTCATCTTAGTAGCAGCTTCTTTAGCCGCTCCAGTTTTCAATTATGTGGACAGTGTGTATCTTCAGACTTTATGGTATGTAACCTTATAATTTTTGTTATACTACTAATAAGCGGAAAAACAGGCAATGTAAAGAATAGAATAACCATAAAACGAAAGCTAGGCAATTTTATTTATTCATTTATTTATTTATTGCATGCTTTTATATACTGCCTAGTTTTGTGAGATTCAAGGTGGTTCACAAAAGCAAGCAGAAACATACAATAAAAACAAGAGCAAAGAAAGCAGTGGTCTATCTAAAAAACAGCCTTCACACCATTAGACCGTAACACTTGATGGAATAGCTACACTTTAACAGTTCCCAAGTTTGCATCTGGTCTAGTTTTACTGGATTCAGAGATGATCTCTTTCAAGGAAGATAGCACTACCTGCTTCTTCAGAGAAATGTTAACCCCCTCTTGGATCCAGACACACACACCCTTCCTGCCATGTGAATCAGCCAGGCTGAGTATAAGTTCAGTTTGCAGGTGGCGGAACTCATACTGTGGAGACCCTCAGTCTCCAGAAGCTTAAAAAAAATCCCAGATACCTCACAAGTAATAAAGGTTATAAATTTCTGTGGATTCTTTAATCAGTTTAACTCAATAAATGAGCAAATAAATAATTTTTGCTCAACAATTTGAACAACCTTAGAGTCAAATTAGATGGTCAAAAACTAAAATGTGAACAGGATTGCAACTCTAGTTCTGTGTATGTTTTCTAAGGTTGATTGAAATAAAAATGTAAGTATACATGGGATTACAATCTTAGCAACATAAAAACCCACTGGATTATGTTCTTACAGAAAGAGTTTCTGTATGGATTTATGTCAGCCTGTGTGTGTTAGTGGTTAAGAAAATTTGGGGCTGAGAATCTGAAATTGAAATCTCTGTAAAGAACTAATCTGATTGATTTAAGGCAGGGGTCACATTGCCTTGGCAGTCATCTACCATATGGTATGATATATAATTTTTAAAATATTTTGGCTTAGGTAGGGTTTCTTTGGAGTTTCTAGGCATTTTAGGTAGCCTAGCCTTATATATCATATTTTAATTATCATAGCAGAAATGTGTTCCAAGTTGCAAGTAGGATTCTTCTTGGCTTAAATAGGTTTTTAAAAATTGTGTTGTAGCAGTTTTTAGACTTGCCTTTCTTCTTTTTTGCTTGGGAACTAAAATAATTACTTTCTCCCTGAAGGTGCATCACAGCTTTCACAACAACGGCATCTGCATATAGTTACTATCATTATGGTCGAAAAACAGTTCAGGTGCTAAATGACAAATGAAGTTTTGCAGAATGACTGCTCACCTCCCATTCAGTTTGTGTGGAAACAGTGTTGGTTACATTCTGTTTGGACTATGCAGAAAGAACTCTTTGAATGACACTTTTGCCTCAGTGAAACCATGCCTTCACGACGTTAAAATGAAGTTTTGATCATGTAAATATGCAGAATTTTCAATGTACTATTTCAATCTATTACAAATAAAGTATAATTTTTTACTGTACTGAACTTACACACATGTACAGGTTATTGTCTGATATTATTTGTTGATTGCTTTCCAGAAATTTGCACTTGGTGAGGTCATTGTGCCGCTTCCTTTGGTATATCCCAGTAGAAACAGTTATATGAAATATGAAATAATTGATATAAGCAGAGTTCAGTTGAGTTTTAGTGTATTTAAGATGCAGTCTGATCGATGGTGCAACCTGTTACTACAACAGGTAAATGTAATAGAGCGGGCAGTAAATTCTACAGAATATAGCTATGAATTTCACAATCCTTCATATGCTTAAAGTAGAATTACATGTCTTCTGATTTAAATGTCATATATGGTCACAATGGCCGTTTAAGATAAACTTGGGTCACTTGCTTCTTAGCCTAATTTTAGGGCATACTATATTTAGGAAAGGGCTGCTTTAACTGTGCCAGTGATGTGTTAACACTGTTTTGTTAGACTATTGTCTTGAAAGATGACCAATAAATAAATATACAAGTATGCTGGTGCAAAAGTTGATAACCAAATGGTTGATTTTCCAAGGCAGCTTTGTAAGGGGCTGAGATTAAAATGTTCTCTGAATAGGGCCAGCATCATAGTTAACAATGTTGCAATAAGGACATAGCTTATGTGACAAAGTTGGTAACCAGATGTGCTATGAAACAGATGATTTGATTCTGGTTTCTTAGTTCTGCTTGTAGGATCTCAGTCCTGGCCTATTTTACAGGCTTTTAAGGAGTGCAACAAAATGGATGCATATTATCATTTTAACACTGTAAAGATTTTCATAAGTGTAAAATACTTAATATGGGAAGTTGGCCTATATACAGTATGTGCAATCTTTTAATTCACCAAACTATTTTAAGACTGTAGAAAGGTGAAAGATTAATACAATCTGAAGAGCGACCAGAGTCTATTTTGAGACTGTAGCACAGTATTTCTCAACCTTAGCAACTTTAAGGTGAGTAGAGTTCAACGCCCAGAATTCCCCAGCCAGCATTGAGTTGAAGTCCAGGTTGAGAAACACTGCTGTAGCAACTTTTCTAATGCGTTATTTGTCAGTAGAAGCGAAAACATCATGGCTTTGGATAACTAACATGGATTTACACTGTTTCTTTGGAAAAACTTTATGCAAGAGCTAATACTTCTCATCTGTATCAGCGTGGTAAGCAGGTACTGGTGTCTGACAGCTATCTTTTGCCATAATACCAGAGACCTGAGAAAACAGATTATAAAAGTCGAATAAGGAAGGCCCTTCTTAGTATGATCTGGCTGACATGTATAGGATGTTGAGGTTTCTATGAGAAAAAGCAGAGTAAACAAATTCAGCCTCCATGTTAATTAAGGAATGCAGATATCAAGTGTGTGTTAAGACAAAGAAAGTTAAGGACAAAGTCTTGAGCTACTGTATATGTGATATTAATATTTTGCCTGTTTGATGAAGTACAGGAACCAGAACAAAAGATAAGAATTGTGCAACTTTAGCTCCAGTTTGCCACAATGGCAGAATTGTAGACTCATTTTAAAAAAAAAATGACCTGTTTGAAATGTTACAGAATCTGAACAGACACACTTAAATATGCGCAAACAAGTAATATATTTTGTAAGTGGTAAGCAATTACTTGAATATAAAAGTGCTTGCTAAACTGAAAATGAATTTGAAAATGTTGTATTTAATTGCTATTTCAGTAGAAGTGGTTTTACTGCAAAAATGAAGGGTGAGAGTGGAAATGGGTGGGATATTCTACACATTATAGGATATTTTTAAAGTACATTTTATATATCTAAATTTTATAAAGTTTATACACTGAAAATATTTTTGATAGTTTATGTACAATCAGGCTGCTGCAATCTGATTGTATTGCAGTGTAAAACTCTTTCCCCTACTTCATCAAGACAAAATAGAAGGTGATATCCTATAGAACCACAGAGTATATTCTTTCAACCTCATAAGCATAAATGTTGCCTATCCCAAAATTCAAGAAGTTTGAAAATGAATAGATATGCACGTTTGTCTGCAGTCATTGCCTTTGCACTTTCAAAATAAATCCTTTAAACGACTTCAGTATGTCTAATTGTGTTGTATGTACCCTGTTCCAGCATGACAGCTGCTGCTTCTGCTGCTGGTGCTGCAATAGCCTCCATCCCATTGTCATAGTCAAGATGCAGGAGGTTTTGGGTAGGCTGCTCAGTGGTGAACAATGACCACATCCCAGGAAGCTCACATCAAAAAGACTTTAAGCTGTTAAGGAGAGGATGTTAACATTTAAGGCCTTAAATGGCTTTATGCCTGACTGTTCGAGGGACTGTCTCTCATGTTAAAATCTGCAGGGGAGGCCCTTTCTAAGATGCTTTGCTGTTCAGAGACCCCACCTTCTTAGGAGGCAGCCTTGTCCTATACATTTAAGGCCTGTCTCTTTAGCCAGACCTCTAAATGATAACAAAAGTGATATTTCCAATGGTAAGTGTCTTTTGTATTCATGATGCATATTTTACTTCAATTTAACTGGCAATAAAACCATTTAGTTTTGCCTTGGCTCCCAATCTTTTTAGGTATGTAGTCCTTGGCATGCCATTAGTGGCACTTGGCCAGGAAAAAGTTATATTTAAAATATGTAAGAGCACATGCTGATTAAAATTCCCGACAGAGGAGCTGTCTGACTTCATGTTCACAGTTGTTCACAATGTTCTCTATTCCATCCCGCTGTCTTCTAGCAGCTGGAATTGCATGTATGCGGGAAAATTAATTTCTCTATGCTGCCTAGGGACTAACTGCATTGTCTTTCTTATTTTGATTCTTCATTTTCATGCTAGAATTATCTGTCAATCACCTGGTTATCATCTGTTCCAACTCTCATTGACATGGCACTTTCCATACCAAATGAAACAAATAGATACTTGAAATAATGAGAAAATAGTCTGATATTTAAGATCTTATTCGTGAACATGAATTACTATAAGTGCTCTGTGTGACCAATGTTTTTAGGATAGTCCGGGTAGAATAAGTTAAATCAGTTTGTATGAATACACATGGATTGTATAGACACTGAATGTTTAAAATCTCCAAACTTTTGTATTATTTTCCTATAAGTTGTGCAGATTTAACAGAAAGATTCCTTCATGTCTGAAATGTGCAAGGAACAAATGTATTAGGATGTAAAATATTTAATATTTTATCACCGACAAAAGTACATAAATTGAGTGAAAATAACAAGATACACAACTGATCTTTTAATAAAGGCCACGACTAATACATTCTAGTTTGAAGGCAACTTTGTATATGCATTTACTTCTTGCAGTAAGCAGATGAAAGAATTTCATTTGGAGCTTAAGAAAACAAGTTTAAACAAGCATGGCAAAAGTTGGGGTGCTACTTTTTCTTTTTTAAAAAAGAACTCAGGGTTTTAAAAATTATTAACCCTGTGGTGGGAGGACTAACAACTCCAACATTTCTGGCTCACCCTGGAAGTTAAGGCAGAAATCATATGCAGAAATAAAATCTGTTGAAGATAAACATTCTGACTTTTAAGAGATTTCTGTAAAGAAATTATTCTTACAGCATAAACCTAAACATACTTATTTGGAAGTTTAATGTGACATGGTTCCTGAGCAAAGTGCTCAGATTTCATGCCTTTTTCTAGAATGTTTTGTACACTTAAGGGTAAGCCCCACTGAAAACAATGAGACTTATTTCTAATCTAAAATGAAGACTAGATTTTCCCAAAATATGCCCTTAATATGGGAGAATTCTTATAGTATAGGAATTCCAGGCCTCCTCTCTTCTCCTTCAAAAATTTATGTGAAGGTGATTGTGTAAGTCGGGATGCAACTAACTAAACCAACTAGTTTGCTCTACTGTTCAAGTGGGATGCTTAGGGTAGTGCTTTTCATTGCCTCATATCAGCCCCACCAGGTAGACCAGACCAGGAAATCAGCTCCACAGGAAGGCTAAAACGAGGGAAAAGGAGGGGCTGAGTTTTTCTTTTCCCTGTTTACTTAAACAGAGCTAGTTTAAGAGGCGAAAGCAGTAAATGAGCTGAGCTTTGGGATATTAATGCTTCCCAGTGAAAGGAACAATTTCTTCTTCAGCCATTAAAATTAGACTGACCACTTCTTCCTCAGGTCGGAAGCACTGTTGACATACATTTTCACAATGCTATCCCATCCTCCCGTGGGAGTGTGCTTAGATGGAACTGCTCAAAAACATAGCCTCTGTGGGGAGAAGGAAGTATAGTTGGATATATAGATATGGAGTTAGGAGGCACTTTCCATAGCAGAAATAGCCAGCTAGAACATCCAGCCTGACACTAACAGAGAAAGATGGGAAGGGATGAAGGTTCTTGGATTCCATGCAATGTGAAGCATAGGTGGTATTTTTATGTCCTTGGATGACCCTTACCACTCCAGCATTGTAACAGTCTGATACTCATACAAAGTTATCCTGAAAAATCAATCCAATCAAGGGCCTTCAATAGAGAGAAATGTTTTTTTTTGTCCATGAAAATTTTCATATCCAATGGATCTGGGCCAACCATCACCAAACAGTCTCCCGTCAAATCCACTCTGGAGGATTGAGGGAATCTCCAGAACAGCAGGCATGATGGCAATGGGGGCTTCAAGAGGATGGGGAAAAATCAGTTTCTCATTCCTGCTGGCAAGTCAGGTGCTTCTGCTAACTGGATAAAATGCTGAATTTAAGTCTTTTCTCCTCCTAAAAATACAGTCCCAATTTTGAAGATTTTTTGTAGCCGTATGATACTTTTTGCAGAGTTTTAAATACTGAAAAAAATATTTTCTGATTGCTTCAATTGGAGAGGAAATTTCACAAGGAGAAAACAATGCTAAAGCAAACAATTAAAAAACTTCTAACTTTTTGGAAAAAAAATAGGAGGAGGAGGAGGAGGAACAGGAAAAGAAATCATCACAATGGGTAAACAGTTTATAACAATGGCCTATATCTGCCAATCTCATTACTTATTTTATAGAATAATCAAAAGCAGGATTTTTATAAGACACTAGGTGTGTGTTATATTGCTCAATGTGTGGTGTCTTACATTTTTTGCAGAGACACACTGACAATAATATGGTAGCCATGAGAAAGACCCCACTTGTTGCACATAGGGCAGCAAAGATAGATAGGTAGCTGGACTTTGTTACAAAGGTGCTGCATGGAGTATTACGCTTATTCCGGCCTGTCGTTTGGCTTGATCCTGCCTTGTTCCAAGCAATTATACATACCTGGTAGGTGGAACCGGGCAGAAGATTATACAGAGTATACTGCCTAGCGGTGGCATAAATCTCTCCAGAATTTGTGTAATTCTTCTTGCTGCCTTTAGGACGATAGGCAAGCTGGTAGAATCTTACTGCAGAATTTGGGGAACACCAGTGGATCTGGGCTGAAGTGTCCCTCATTTCAGATACTTCATGAAATCTTGGTGGATCTGGGATGGTGAATTCATCAGACATGCCTGGGCACAAGCAGGAAGACAACTTCTGGAGGTCAACGCAAGGCTTCTGAAGATGCCTACATGGATCATAATCACAAAGACTGAGAGTCTGGGCTACAGATCCCACTTGCTGGTTTTCATAGTCATAGTCATCTGTATAATCTGGTGGACTATTAGTAGATGCAAGATTTGGAAGGGAGGTAGACTTGGTGGGATCCTGAAGAGATAGATTGTTCTGATTTGAATCTGTTATACTGTGTGGAATAAACAAATCACTGGGAACTTCAGAAGAAGGTGTTGCTGTCACTTCAGTTGTAAAACTGTGTAAACCAGACTGGTGCAGTGTTGTGGTATTTTGTTTCCTTTCATTCAATTCGGTTGTACTCACTAAAGGTTGCTCAGTAGAGAGTTTCCCCAGGATTGATGAGAAAGCTGTAGTAAGAGGTGCAACAATCAATGGGTGGTCAGTAGATCTATGAACTGCTTGCTCTTTGTAAGCAAGAATGTCTGCCTTGCCTGGATCCTTCCTTGTAAGATCTCCCCAGGTAAAAGGTGTACTCTGCAGGGTGAAAGAATCGCTGAGGGACTTTTGAGGCAATGTACTGGAATTGGGCAATGTACCTGTAATGATGCTGGTAGAGGTGTGGTAAACTTTGCCTTGAGCAAAAGATGAGGCTGAATGAGTGGTTGTCTGAGCTTGACACTCATCATAGAGTTTGGATAACAGCATAGTTGAAGATGTTTCTTTCTCTTCTGGAGAAAAATAGCACATGGTTTCTGATGCCCTAAGATAATGTAGTAAAAATTTGTCAGAAGGTGTGCTATGAGGAAGTGGAAAGATGTAACATGTAAAATACCACAATAGTCCTATATCCCTCATTTGAGTATCTGTATTTGTGTGTGAATGGGTTTTAGCATTCTAGTTCCAGTATAAAGGTTCATCTTGGCCTCTTACATCATTATGTTATCACTATCTTGGGCTCTGAGCAAGTAGGAGGAATAAGGTGAGTTCTGGACCTATGATAAAACACAAATCCCTTGTGTAAAAGAGGCTCTAGGACGTCAGTCTATTATGATCAGAACCTAAAGAATCAATTTTCTAAGTCTGGAATGCACAACTGTTGTGGGGTAAGGATGTATATGGCTTC